TATATGTTTCCAACTCACAACTTTCATTTAATAACTTTTTACAGCCGTTTGAAATTTGCAAAAACATGTTTTTCGCGTATAAAACCAAAACTATTGAAGTTAGGTATGTACCTCAATGGAATAAGTTATAGATAATAGAATTATCTATAAAATGAGCTATCGCTCATCTCAATCGAGTAATTAATAATTAATATAATTACAAAAAACATCAAAATTGATCAAAAAAGGTAACATTTCAAAAATTCATATCTCCACATAGAGTGATGTTGAAAGAATTAGCTTATGATATTTTGTAGATTGCATTGTCTTCTTCATGTATGCTAAATCTGAGCTATATATAAATATTACTTTCGGCACTACAGTAATGACGATTAAACCTTTTTTTTTTAGTACATCTTGCATAATGCCCTGTGGCTCAGCCGTTAGAGTTATACATTATTTGAAAAAAGTTTTTTAAATTTCAATAATCAAACTACAACTTTGTGATTTGAACTTTTGCTCTAAAATCAGTTTAAAAGGGTGAAATTTGTCGTTGAATATGGGACAAAATGCGCCCGAGCGTTAAAGAAAGCGAGTGGTGGGAGATACAGATCCGGCGGAGAGGAAGTATATGACCGGATCCATTTCAGATCGGGCAGGCCTACGGCAATGATATCTCCGATTGACTCGGCTGTGGAGTATGTTATTCTACTTCAAAAATAAGCCGACACGTATTTTTTTTTTTTCGATTAGACCTCTACATCATTTTTTACGAGCATTTTAAAAAAGTGGTTAAAAAATAAATTTTCTAAAAATCAAATATTAAAATTTTAAAAAATGCTCTATATTTTCTAATTTTTTTACTTAATATGTTATTTATAGCTTATTTTACTGTATTTCTTATACTCTTTCGAATGCGCCATGCAGAATAAAAAAATATTGAAAATTGGCGGAAAAAACTCAATTTTTCGAAAAAATTTCAAACTCAATTTTCTCAAAAAAGCGTTTTTTTTTTCAAATTTTTATGATAGATTAAGCATTATAAGACCTTTAAATTGGTATAGGAGTGATCGCGTACTTTTACGTTTTAGTGATAAAATATCGATTTTTCGTTTTTTTTTGCCCAAAACATTGATAATTATAGTTTTAACATGTGAAACGTGTTTATATATATATATATATATATATATATATATATATATATATATATACATCCATATATACATATACAAGAATTGTACGTCTGATAGTAGTCTTGCGATTTTGATAGAATTACATTCCTTCTTCTATAAATAGCTTATAAATATACACGTGCTCGCATTGCTGATAGCACATAGTTCAGTTTCTATCAGTCGTAAATTGTGTACACACAGAGAAGCATGCATGCTTTCTAGGTGTATATTATATATTAAAGCAAGTGTACGTTATAACAAAAATCACTTTAGATCATAACTGAGTGTTTTATTTCTGTGTTTATAATTATGACTCCACATAGTACATATTCAGATAAGAGAGTTAAGTGTTGTGACTTTTTAAAAAAGCATAAATCATGTGTATATAAAACTAATAACAAGCGATTTAAAAGCTTTGGTGACTTAGCTAATAAATTGAAATTGAAGTTTGGCAGAAAAAAATTTGAACCGTTTGATAATGTGTGTGAAGAAACAAAAGAAGAAGAAGGCTTCAGTTTTAGTAAGCAAAAAAATTAAAAAAACTAAAAACAGAAAGACTAAAAAGTCTAGAAAATAAAAAATATAATTTTTATTACTTAAATAAATGAGTTTATTTTGAAACTTTTCATAAAAATAAAGTGTTTATTTTTTTAATTTTGTTGTAATGATTTGTTTGAACATTCACAATGTATTTCATATCTATATAATACACATAAAACATATATGTAAATAAGTTTTACATGTCAAAACTATAATTATCAATGTTTTGAGCAAAAAAAAAAGAAAAATCGATATTTTATCACTAAAACGTAAAAGTACGCAATCACTCCTATACCAATTTAAAGGTCTTGTAATGCTTAATCTATCATAAAAATTTGAAAAAAAAAAAAAACGCTTTTTTGAGAAAATTGAGTTTGAAATTTTTTCGAAAAATTGAGTTTTTCCCGCCAATTTTCAATATTTTTTTATTCTGCATGGCGCATTCGAAAGAGTATAAGAAATACAGTAAAATAAGCTATAAATAACATATTAAGTAAAAAAATTAGAAAATATAGAGCATTTTTTTAAATTTTAATATTTGATTTTTAGAAAATTTATTTTTTAACCACTTTTTTAAAATGCTCGTAAAAAATGATGTAGAGGTCTAATCGAAAAAAAAAAAAAATACGTGTCGGCTTATTTTTGAAGTAGAATAACATACTCCACAGCCGAGTCAATCGGAGATATCATTGCCGTAGGCCTGCCCGATCTGAAATGGATCCGGTCATATATATAGTAATAGAAAAGCCAGGCGCTCGGCGTTTGACTTTAATATTACTTATTTTGATGTATATATAATTATGCTATTTTACTGAAATTTAGTTAACAGTTTGAGTTACGTTTTAGGGACACTTATAATGTGATAAATACAAATATATAATTACCAAAAATGAACATGTATTTTGTTTAAATGTTAAAGAAATAACTACAGTTTTTATAGGGATAAATGTATTATAAATAAATATAAATTACTATTTGCCTACATTATAATAAAATATACACATATATTTATATGTTTCGTATTATCTATTTAACAAATATCGAATGCGTACTTAATTAACTTGAAAAATAAAAAAAATTTGAGTAAAATAGCGTAAATAATATCAAAATAAGTAATATTAAAGTCAAACGCCGAGCGCCTGGCTTTTCTATTACTATACATACTTCCCCTCCGCGGGATCTGTATCTCCCACCACTCGCTTTCTTTAACGCTCGGGCGCATTTTGCCCGATATTAAACGACAAATTTCACCCTTTTAAACTGATTTTAGAGCATAAGTTCAAATGACAAAGTTGTAGTTTGATTATTGAAATTTGAAAAACTTTTTTCAAATAATGTATAACCCTAACGGCTGAGCCACAGGGCATTATGCAAGATGTACTAAAAAAAAAGGTTTAATCGTCATTACTGTAGTGCCGAAAGTAATAATTATATATAGCTCAGATTTAGCATACATGAAGAAGACAATGCAATCTACAAAATATCATAAGCTAATTCTTTCGACATCACTCTATGTGGAGATATGAATTTTTGAAATTTTACCTTTTTTGATCAATTTTGATGTTTTTTGTAATTATATTAATTATTAATTACTCGATTGAGATGAGCGATAGCTCATTTTATAGATAATTCTATTATCTATAACTTATTCCATTGAGGTACATACTTAACTTCAATAGTTTTGGTTTTATACGCGAAAAACATGTTTTTGCAAATTTCAAACGGCTGTAAAAAGTTATTAAATGAAAGTTGCGAGTTGGAAACATATATGTTTTCATCTACGCATAGTATTAAACAAGTTTGCATAGTCGGTTTGCTGATAGTATTAATGTCACAAATTACCTCATTTTTGGCTTCATTGATTGGCCTATACGTATGTCTGCGATTCGAGGCTGCCTTTTTCAAAATTGTCAAACCAGCATAATAGCGCTCGATATGCATTTTATGCGTAGAGAGCCCCGAGGCTAAGAGAAAGGAGAAGTCCTTCCCATTCAATCGTTTCTCTCCGTCTCGTCCCTCTCCGTCTCTCGGTTCCCACTTGATCACTCTGTTTCATTTTTTAACTGGCTCTTTCTCCTTCTCGCCTCTGCGAGAGTCGACACATGATTTTGCTCTCGCGGTTAATTGTACAGCCTGGAGAGCGGAGTGATTAGCTGGTTGGTCGATGATGTTCATTATCGCGCCAATGAGCGACTTATCCTTTTTTTTCTTTTCACGATTGGGCAGTGAAGGTGCTCAGAAGTTTTTCAAAACACCGCATCCCTTTATTGCCAAATAATTGTCAAAAGAAATGTATTTAAGCTAGACAATTTTTAGTAATTTTTTTCTTGAAAATGACTCGAAATTCTTGGAAAAACATTTATTTTTCAAGTTAAAAACATTTAACGATCACGCCTATTTAAATTGTATGGAAAAGTATTTTCTTAGATACGAGTAGATTCTAATTTGGCATTCTTTGTTACTAATAGTGCAGCTCATATACGCGCGTTAAATGTTTTCTTTGTCATAGTCTCTTTTGCGGATTGACAGGGTTAGCTCTCAGTGTGATTATCGGTAAAGCCTTCTTCGTGAATCAATGTGGTGTTTATATGAAGACCATGCTTTAGGTAAAACTGACAAATCTAGTAGCTTACTGGTCTAAAAGAATCACTTAGGTCATAATACGCTGAGCATTAATCTATTGCACTAGTCCTTCACAACTGAAAGTTAGCTCTTTTTTTATCAGAGTGCAATAAATATAGGATCAAAAAATATGTAAAAATAAATCCAATATTTTTTTCATGTATTAATTTGACACATTAAGATTTATAAATACTTGTAACACTATTCAAAACATATTTAACTTCTATAAGTAATTGTCATTTAAATTAATTTTAAAGCATTAATTACTATTCTAAATGTCATTGTTTTTATGAACAAAGTTTATCACATCTCAGGAAACCTTAAAAATGATGAGAATTGGAATAAAATATAATTCCTTAGGTAATATTGGTGCAATAGAATCTTATTTTCAAATAACTATCAACCTTTGTTTTCTCAAAATTATGTCTTATATATTCATAATATTAATTGCAACTATATTTTCTTATGTTACTTTTCTAATATTAATGTGACACTTAATCCGATGTGCACAATTGAAGTCAGAGATAGTTATACATATATGGAAATATACATACATATGCATAACAATATACATATGAATATGTATACATGTTTATGTATACACATACACTATACATATATATATATTTACAAAAGTAATGATGAAACTATTAAGAATATCAAATGATGGAGATATTTAAAGGATACTATCATAAAAGTTGCCCCAAATATAAACATCATTACAAAATCAGCTGTCCTTCCTCGAAATGATCCTTCTTCTAGCATACGACAATATCTATATGTGAATATTATATTGAAAAAAAAATTAAATCCAATAGTGCCAAAAAACAAAAAAGTAGTTACAAAGCGCCAAAACTGAAAGAATAATATAGTTATTATAATACTATAAAATTCTTAAAAGTATAAAATATTAAACTCACCTGACATTGATAAATAATCAAGATTGGATTGAAGTAAAGTTGAAATGGAGATATTAAATCTAATTGCTATAATTATAAATTATCCTATTAATGTGCAAATTTAAATATTGAAAAGTATATTATATTCAACATATTCTCAATCATATAAAATAATTCATTTTTATGATAACTTACTACAGCTAATGTTGTTAAAATACACGCTGTTGTATATATTCTAGTAACAATAGGTATATGAAGATATTCTTGTTGAAAAGTTCTATAAACCATTTTAAACCATGGAATAGCAACTTCTGTAATGATCAGGATTGAGATGTACCAAGAAATTGATATATCATAATGCTATAGAATAATACATCACTACCAAAACAATTGCTTTTTCTCAAGGAAATTCTATACACATTAACTAATTGAATGGACTGTGCTAAATTATGAGAATAAATTAGATTAGAATCAATGTGATTGTTAACAAAAGGGGATGAAATGTGTATTTTTTATGTATACAGTGTATATATACGTATGTATAATAGATAGATGACATATATGTGCTACATTTATTTATTTTATCAATTTCATTATTTAGCTATTCTTTTTTATAGAATCCTATAAAACAACCTGATTGTATAAACCAAATATAGACATAAATCATACAGAAATCTACGTTGCGAAACATTTTTTATATATGTTAACACAAGAAAATGAGAGTTTAAGATGATTGATAAAATAATCACGTCACGGATAGTTCGTCATTAAAGTAATACTGTTGATCGATATTATTTGTTTGTTCGTCTTCAAGTAGATAGGCGGCATTCGGCTCATAGCTCAGAGTATGGTGCTCAATTTTAGGTTTTCTAAAAATTCGTTTGTGCCAGTTACTGATTTCATAATTACTTTGGATAATTAGATATTTTCCGCTATACTATAGCTTAACTGTTGTTTCCATTCTGTTTTGATATTGTTACGCCCCAAACTAGGGCAGACACCAGACGCTAAAGTATCACTAAGCGATCGCTTGTGTGAGAAAGCTCATTTTAAGGTTTCTCACGCAAGAACACCTAACTACGCAGATCTGTTGTTCTTCATGATCGCGAAAAGTCCCACGGGTGTCTGCAATTCGATGCTGCCGTTTGCAAAATTATCAAACCAGCATAATAGCGCTCGATGTACACTTTATGAATAGAGAGTCGCGAGGCCGAGAGAAAGAGAAGAGAAGTCCTCTCTCTCCGTCTCGCGTCCCTCTCAGTCTCACGATTTCCATCTAATCACTCTGTCATTTTTCAACTAGCTTTCTCTTTCTCGCCTCCGTGATTGTCAACACATGATTTTGCTCTCGCGGTTGATTTTACAGCGTGAAGAACGAAGTGAATAGCTCGTTAGTCGATGACGTTCATTGTTACGTCATTGAGTGACTTATCCTTCTTTTCTTTTCACAATTGGGCAGTAAGAGTGCTCGGAAGCTTTTCGGAAGAGAGTTCCCTTTTTAATAACGACGAGCAAAAAAGGTAGTTAGAGACAAGAAAACGAAGAGAGCAGATGCATTCCAAGTCGCAAGCGAACAGTTTTATTATCATGATGGAAGTGAATAAATTTGTTTTTTGAAATAATTTCTAGAGAAATTAATTTAAAAATTTAAGCTCTCTGCTAATCCCTCTCGACTTGTGTGGTGTACGTGGCCGTGAGTGGCGTTTCATGCGTGCTTTATATTCGATCAACAAGACCATGAAGCAGTTGGAGGAGAGTCTCCCGTCATCCGAGGAAAGGGAAACAGGACGTAATAGGTATATAAATTAAAAGATATTAGTTGTAAAATTATTTCAAATTTGCATTAATAATAACACATGGATCTACGATTACAAAGAAGACGTGAGTGGTAAGGGCTATAAGGGTTCTAAGCCACTTTTACCATGCGAGTTTTTAATCCTTCCTTACCAGCAGTCGTAACATTATCAATCCCATGTTACCGACCTATGGGATGTTTTATCGGCAGATTTTTTATCGACGATGGACTTGTTTGACCGGCATTGTAGTCGAGCGTTGTGTATGTGTGTGTGCGTATGTGTGTGTGTGTAGCGATATGCAGGCCCCGCCGGTAGTTACCGACTCTTTCATCGATGTGGATGGATCCCCCCGGCCCCGTGCCCCCGATGATCGATGAGTCAGATTGAAAAAATATATGATTAATACTATCGACGGCGTACTGGCATGCCTAGTCGGTATATCTCGTGGAAAGTTCCCAATTTACCGGTGTACTCGGTCGCATACTCCGTGGGATAAGATTTATTGGTAAATCAATAAAATCACCAAATTTTACATACGTTTAAAATTAAAAAAGTTTGATAAAAAAAGTATACATGGCTATTATTATTTTTTTTTTATTTAACGTCGCTCTATTTATGCCCCATCAGTGTTAAGGCTTACAATTTGTTTGAGAACAAAGCACATGAAACTTTTTTCAAAGGTACTTTTATCAATTAGCAGGGACTGGGAATCGAACCCGGATCTACCGGGTGCGAGTCCGTCGCCCTACCGACCGAGCCATTGCAGGCTTCACATGGCTATTATATTATAATACTTAGACAAGTTTTGTAACAAGACCGCTTATTGGATTATACTTAACTATACGATCGTGTAAAATTAAACAATATGCAGCTGTTTCCGCAGGTATATAATTTTTTGTTTCAAACTCTAGACGTACATCTACAGCAGCTTGTTTCAATAATTAATTTTGCTTAGAACAATCTATTACATTAGACGTGCATGCGTAATAAATTGTTTTCGGTCTAAAAGTGGATTGTACATACAGTCTCTGTTGTAATAGTTCTGTTGGAGGAGTTAGTTTTATTTATATATGCACTTATATGTATAATTAGTAAACACTAGTTTATTAACTCTTAAATTATCCGAACTCTTTATTAACTCTTAAATACAAAATATAAAATATAGATTAAAGAAATACTGCGCACACTGCTAAGTTACAACCAAACAAAAAAACTCTTAAATAGTTGTCTCAAGAAAACAAAAACGTTGCTGTCGCTATCGGCGTTAAGCAGAGAGTGTGAGAGAGCATTTTATTCTCCCCCTCCGAGCCGCGCCAAAACCGAGCCGCTGGATGGTGGCGCCTCCAGTGGTGGTCACGACGTACATTCTCAAGTTCACTTAAAAATTAGCATACATGTCATATAACATAGAATACTGATTATTACATATATGAAGATTTGAATTTCCATACGGATATTGCTGAAGAATGAGAGTAAGTTTAATATTGGTTACACTGCAATGCTCAAATCTGCTGGAATTTTTAGTTTGATCAGACTTTCGTTTTGTTTGAAAACCTAATATAATATATCTTGGTTTTTCTAAGTGATTGGAGGTATTTACTGTCCAAAGATGTTTTGACGTTTATGGTAATGATGGATACTGTTACATCGTTACTAAAAAAAAGGTACGTAACGAACCATGATAAGTAATTAAGTGTCACGAGAACACACATTACGGGTTATGGTAACTAATCGGGTATCGGTAATTTAACTTCCTATCGTATCAACCCTCCCGGAAACATTTGTAAATCTATCTAGCGAGACAGATTAGACTAAGCACGTTCTCCATAATATTTCCTCTAATATTACTCACCGCATATTAATTTAATAAAAACAAGGGAAGGGGTACATCAGCCTATGGTATAAAAAGGCTGAATCAGAATCCGCAATAGCTCATACTCAAGCTAATACTCATACTCGTACTTATACTGATTAATTTAGTTATTGTATTATTTCTAAGTTACGCTACCCGGCTATTCAGAACCGGAATTATACTCTGCCAAGCATTATAAACTTGTCTTTCAATAATAAATCTTAATCAAATCCAAACACCTGAGACTGTTTCGTAAAATCTTTTCTGAAGCCCAGTCCTAACAAGATGAGAAACTAAGTTATCTACCTAAACACACTACATATAATAATAGCGCTATTCCTTTAACCAACCTCGGCTTAACTCCCGACTAAGATCCAACTTTTACCAATGCGACAGTATTTTAAACATTATTACGTCTAGCCATAACATCTCCTCGTTAAGGCATAAAAATACTCATAAAATTCCCCTATTGCAAAAATCTACGCTGGATTTCCAGCTGGATAATATGGATTCCATATGGATTCTACCTGGATTTCTAGGTGGATTTTTTTAAATTGAGGTGGATTTTTAAAAAATCCAGGTGAATTTCCAGGTGGATTTCCAGTGAATTTTTTATAAATCAGGATGGATTTCCAGCTGGATCACATGGCTTCCAAATGGATTTGTGTGTGGATTTATAAGTGAATTTCTAGGTGGATTTCCAGGTGAATTTCTAAGTAGATTTCAAGGTGGATTTCTAGATGGATTTCTAGGTGACTATTTCTAAAATCCAAGTAAGTTTCCAGGTGAATTTTTTTAAATTCAGGTAAATTCCTACATATATTTTCTATACATGTACATTTATTTATGTATAATTAATATACTGATAAATAAAAAATAAAATGAATTGTAACGGGGTGGGTACCGTTTAATTACTTTATTCGCACAATTCCACCGAAGGGCGCGCGTAATTACCTATGCTCGATACGTTAGTCGGAAAGCAAGAGAGAAACAGATGTCAGTCAACCAACTAACTACAAATGTGAGTGGAAGCAATACGGAATAAACGAGCCGAAATCACTTGTTAAATATCACGAACGAAAGCCTTTATTGTCTTCTCAAATACTACATCAGAATCGGCCCACGTGTTTACGTTTACATCGACGCTCGCTCGACAACAACATGCAGTGTTGGGACGCTCGTTGCTCTTTGTTAACAGAGCTATTACATGCACGCTTTGAACACGAGGAATTAATTATTACGCATGCAATCGCGATCGTGAGATTGAGCTGGCCAGCTTACCTTTATTTAGAAGACGTTGGAAGACAAGAATGCACGATTTGCACTGCGGAAAAGTTTGTCTGTTCTTTTGTCGCGGCTCGCGAATTCGCGAGCACGTGGTTCCGCCCTCGATAGCGAACCTCACACACTCTCGCTGTCGCGGGGAATGACGCTCTCCTCTGGCTCAGGTCCGCACTCGTTCAGGCACTTCAACCCTGGATCGCGATCTTGGCGGTTTCTGTATCGGCAGCTGACGACGTGACTACCGGCGAATACCTTGATGGTTAGTGCTCCACTGCTTCAATTTCAATCGCGCGCGTTCCGTCTGCTCGCGTGCCGAATTCCTTCGTTACGTTTTTCGTCTCTCCGGTAGGTGCTGCCCCCGCAGGCAGCAATTAGGTTATATTATTAGCGCTAATTTGACGTTTACCGTCACAGAATATATGGTATTAAATTTTATTAAAATAATATGATTATTTTATATATTTAGATGCAATATTATTAATACATGAAATGTTATTTTTAATACATGAAATGTTATTTCAATTGCTCTTTTTGTTTCTTGATTTTTTTTTATGCACGAATTAATGTCCTCAGTTATGTAATTATTTTTCTTGTTTATCATCCTCTTTGTATCACTTTTGTTTTTTTTTTAACTTTCTGGCAATAATAACTTAAACATTCTAAAAGTATAATAAATGTATATAATGAGATGTGTAATAAGAAAATTATATATATTTACAGGGTGTCCC